GCGAACTTACCGTACTGGTCGATGGCACTCGCAGGCACTACGTAGAGGGGCCACTTGATGAGAAATGTGGCGGGCGTATGACTCAAGCACCGCTGGAGGAAAGTGATCAGGCTCCCCTGGGGGTACACCCCAAGTCAACCAGTCACCTCCCTCCCCGATGCAAGGGAGCGTCACAGACTCCCGAGCAAAGGTGCAGCACTTGAGCCAAAATGGCTACGGACTCTCTCTCTCTCTCTCTCTCCTCTCTCCCGGGCATGGGGATCGGTCCAGATCCCGGGGCGTCTAGCCCACCCGATCATTGCCGGGCTCCTCCCTCTCGCTCTATCTCTCTCTCTCTCTCTCTCTCTCTGTCTGTCTGTCTTGATGTGCCACAGCTCAGACTTGCAACTTTCCTCGCCATCGCCGCTGATCATCCTCAACGAGTTTTGCTGCAGTGGAAGCGGACGAGTTGAAGTGAACAGGACAGGATTTTGCTGAGTTCGAACTTCCTGGGCTGCCGGCTCAGCATGCACAGCACCATATGGTGAATCAACAATGTCCTGGAAGTCCTCGCCTTGCCGATCACCTGCACAACCAAGTAGATCAGATCACAACTATGACATATCATGTCATGGCATAACCAAGCTGTGTCAGGAAGGGATTGTCGAATCCAGCACCTTCGCACTCGATGTTCGGCGCCGCTGCCCTGCCTTCTCGATAGCCGGAGTTAGCCTCATTTACTATGTCGCAGCAGGCCACTACTTCTCTTAGCCCAAGAGTACATGGGAGCCATATCGGAAGGACTCACGACAGTTTTGACATGCTGCACCATGTATCAAAACTCAGAAACAGCAAAAAAAGCCCACTGCTTTGGCTGCGTGGATCCCAAGCCCTTGTCCCACCTCTGTCTTTCGCCGCGTATGAGATCATTGGGTCTCTCCCGAAAGCACGCAGGGATGTTCATTGTGGCATTCTATCACCAACATTGACCGAAATGTCACGAGGTCATTACATAGAGTTCGTCAAGCGGGCGACCCCCTTCCCTCCTTCTGAACGAAGTGCTTATTTCCCACGGGAGTGAAACATGTTTCTGAGGCATAACCTATACCTGCACTGCAAACGTACACTAGCAGCTCTCCTGCACCGAACCTATTTCGAATCTCCCGCAGCTGGGCCCGCATGCCATTGCTGCGTCGCCAGCAGGGCCGGACCATGTACCAATATGCCCAATATGATTCTTGTGGAGCTGTTGCTGTGTCAAATCTTCGTTAGATCACCCGTCAGGCTGCAGTAGGACAGTTGATGCTGCCTGCCAACAACACTACAAAACTAGCAGAGACTCTCTGCACATGTAGCAGCTAATCGACCAAGGTCGTGGGTTTGGAGAAATCCTCGAAAAGGCCCTTGCCCGAGCACTGCTCTGAAGATGAACTTGTCGGCATGCCCCTGAGCCGAAAGCTTCGGCCAGGGGAGCTGAGTGCTGCCGAGTGCCGAGTGGTGGCGACTGTTGCCGGTCAGAGGAAGGTGGTGGCTGGGTGGCAGTGCCTGGCTTTTCCCACGACAAGACGACGCGCTGGTCTCCCTTCGATGCATCCACTGCATCGGCTCTCAGCACTTTTGTGCTGGCACCTTGCCGAACTTGTGCCTAGGTCCTTCACCTCCGCGTGTCTCCATGTTCCTCATGGCCGGCGTGAGTGTTCGCAGGGCCGTAGGGTGCTCGGGCGATCTCGCGCAAGCTTCGTGCGAGCGCTTAGTTGTTGGCGCTCACAGCGTAGATCAGCCTGCAGGATCTTTCAAGACGTGCAGACTGGTCCGGACTGGGGGGTTCTGTCCAAGCCTCTTCACACAACACAGAAACCACAAAAAAGGGAAAGCAGAAGGAATAAATCAGGCAGCCAAAGCAATGTAAGCAACGCGGGCTGCAGAAAGCAAACAAGAGAGAAAGCAGGAAGTGGCAATCTGACATCATCAATCACAAGAAGCAAAAAGTACGTAATTCTTGGACCACTCAAGCAAATCAAATGTTCAGAATTACTTAACATGCACGACGAAAGTACGGATTGCTCTCCAGTCTGGCAGGCCTTTGGGCGACCTTCCTCCAGTTTTCTACGGCAATGACCAGCTCCTCATCGTTGAAGACCTTCATGCTGACCGAGGCCTGGTTCAAGGACTTGGCGTCCATGAGCTTCAGAAACAACTCTGGTAGCCCCTCGAAGTAGAGCACGTGTGGCATCATCGCCCAGTCGCTGTACGCCGACCATTCCAGCGCTTGCTCTACACCCATTGGCTGGTGCACGGAAGCGTAGAACGGGGAGCTCTCGGGCACCCCCAAACCCTCAGGGACCTGGGCCTGATCGGCAGTCCAGTGTCGATACTCCATCATGGGTGCAGTGACTGGGCCTATGAGCCATCGCCACAGGTCTCTAGGGACGAACACTGGCATGTTGGCTGAGTAGAACTCGTTGAAGAGGAAGATGCTCGTGTCGTAGGGCATGCACACCACAGCACGGTGTGAGGCCAATTTGTTGTAGGGCATGTGTGGAACCTGGCATCATCGCGTCTCTGTCTTGTGGTGGAACAGAGGACCACTGCACTTGCAATTCGGAAGCAGCACGACATAAATTGCATGACGAATGCAGCGTGTGATGCACGAATTTGGGTAAGACGCTTCAGTCTAACAAGTAGACCGGGCCTTGATTTCGCTGGTGTGCTCCTCCCAGGTTTTCGCATCTTCGAGCTCGTTCTCTCCCGTTGAGGCCTTCAGTGCAGGCGGTTGCATTGATACAGTCTATCGCCTGACCCATTCAAGCTTGTGCCTTGCCAAGAACACAACCTCTGTTCTGACCAAGTCTACCTCTGTTTTCGCTCTGTGGGCCGGCGCTGCTTTCTTCCAAGGTGGTCGGCACAGAGGCACGAACGCTGTCAGATCTTGCTTGAGTCCGACATCCCTGGGAAGTTGAAACGCTCGTGGCAGTTCACGGTGGACCGGCTTCGAGATCAGAACTGTCGAGCTGCGGCAGGTGCCGGAAGTCGACCGAGCCCGCCAAGGGAAGGCATACGGCAAGATCTGGGTGTTGAGAGCTTCAGGACCGTCGCAGTCAGCCTGTATCTCCTTCAAGATGTCTGCTGGTCATTTCGAGGATGTCTGCCTTGTACCTCAAGTTAAGCATATGCAGCGAAAGTCCGAACACTCTGCGCTTCAGCATGCTTAGCTGTTGGCACTCCATTGTTGAAGCCTGAGCACCCGCGGATCTGATGGGATGGGCTCGCGTCCGCCAACTCGGAGTCTGGAATGCCGACGATGGAGACTCCCCGATTCTGTACCTGAAGTCCTGCACGCAAGTTCGGAGCTTCATGGCTTTTTGACTTGGCTCTCGCAGGAGGCCTCTTGCGCATCCCGTGCCGGCAAGGTGTAGGGCCCCATCCAGCTCCAGACCATCCACCACCACCTGGGCGTCTTTGCTCGCGCTCACCGATCCGAGCGTGCGGAGCACTAAGCAAAGGGCATCGCCCTCCAAGACTAAGGTGGATCTTTTCGAGATGGCAATCCTGGGCTCACGAGAGCTCAGGCTCAGACAGAAGCTGCAAGTCGTTGCAAGGCAAGGCTCCTTCCTTTCAGCTTCTTCTGTAGCTGCACCAGAGAAATCGCGAAAGAAGGCTTGAGCACAATCCTCGGAGGCCGTATCACGCCGTATCATGCCTATGGGTCGACCTCGAGGCTGCCACAGCCGAGACTCTTCGCTCCGATTTTGGCAACTATACCCAGGAAGGACACCTCATCTGGTTCCTCGATGTCGGCACCCGCAAGCCTCGGTTGTCTGCCGAACCGAATTGGACCGTTTCAGTCCTGACGTACTTCACGGGTTTCAGAAAGCCAAGCTTCTGCAGCAGCCGCACATTGCATAAGTATAAGTCCGCCTCGCACGTCAGCGCGCATTCCGGCGGATTCTTCTTCAAAGCATCTGCCAGGTTGTTCTTGACGGATGTCTTTGAAATCCATCGCTCCACTTGTGTGACTCCGACCTTGTCACCTGGTCCGCACAGTCGCGGGAAATCCTGCATCATACATTCCAGGCGCGACGACGATTTGAACCGAGTCTTGGCAGGGTCCGCCCACTTCGGGTTGATGAACTCTGGTACGATGCCGCCGCTGCCGTCTAGGCACTCGGAATACCTGGGCAAGTGGAACAGCAGCACATTTATATTCCCTGGATACGGTGAGTATCCCGAGTCATCCGGTATATCGCCACCAGCCGGAGTCTCTTTCAGGAGCGGTTCGAGTTGGTTGTACTCAACATTCAGGGTCATGGCGGTGCCCGAAGGACTCGTGAGCCTGCAGATGCCACCAATGGATTCGCCGGGTATCCTGGGAATGGCCACGGAATTCATGACGTAGCCGTTCTTCGCAGAGACACCAAGCAAAGCACAAAGGATACGGAAGTGCAGTGGATTTGTGTCCTGAAATACGAAGAGCCAGCGCCGGCCCTCTTCCACCCAGCGCTTGGCGAGGCCCCGTTGATGCATGAGCCCATGAATGTCACCTTTGAATGCGTGAGCAGCGCATGCAGCACCTAGTCGCGCCTCTAGTCGGGCCTCTATAGTCCCTAGAGAACCGCACTTGGAACACGTGGCGATACATGAACTGAGTGGCCATGGCCATGCGGCTTTGTTTCGATTGAACCATCCTTTGCAGAAATGTGGGCGTCAACGTCCACAAGTGCAGGTACCTTTTCCTGCTTCAGAAAATGCACCTGCCAGGGAAAGCAATATGAAGCCATGGTGTGTTTGTCCATTCCTGGCCTGTTCCTCCACCATCCCAAAGAAAGCCTGAGATGGAATTAAATGATTGCAGAGGCACTACCAAGTCAGACATGCTAAAGCCAAGGTGTTTAAAGCTGATCCGAGCATCGTTTTCTCTCATCATGTGAACGGTTTTGTCATGAGTGTCGCCCGATGTCATGATGGCGAGTGGCAGCAGCAGGCCAGAATCACCAGTGTCGGTGCGTGCATAAGATTGACATGCCAGGATGTACGAGCAAAACAGCTCGATGAACGTGGTCCCCGTGATGACTTCCGTCACGATGCCGATCTTGATGCCAGGGAAGCCCAAGCGCTCGCCAAGGCCGCCGGCCACGAGGCAAAAGCAGCACTTCGACAACTCTGCCATGCCCAGCTCCTCCGCAGCAGCAAATGTAGCGCTGCCAGGGCCCGTCTCGCCGAAGAGCTGCTGCCCCTCCGGCACCGAAGGCACCAGCCCGGCAAAGGGGTTCACTCCGGCTTGGGCCTGCGCCGACACGAAAGGCTTTATGCCAAGTCGCGGATTGCAGTTGCGCTGCGGTGTGAAACCGGGAATTTCTGCAACGGCTGGCTATCTCAGGGAGTCTATAGACCAGAGCTTCAAACCCGTTGTCTTTCGGCCCCAACCTCTTGGAGCAAGGAACGCCCACGGTCCAGGTAGCCCTTCAGTCCGCCACCTGGGTGAGCAGGACTCCGCCGCCAAGAGTGTCGCATTGCATGCCCGTGCACTGATGAAGAAGCCAATGGGATGAGCGTGGAGATACGACACCCTTCTGAGATCCGAGAGAGCGCGAGCGCACACGAGATGCTCATGCAGTTGGGAAGAGAAGAGAAGAGCGCACAAGGAAGGAGACAACCAGAGCCAGAGCGAGGGCGAGGATAGTAAGCAGGGGATGGAAAGACAGGTAGCTAGGGTAAGGGAACTAGGTGATGTCACCAAGCTCCGAGCCCGGCAGACTGCCATCGATCGCATTCAGCTGTTCCAAGAGGGCTTTCTTCTGACTCTCCGGCATGTCATCGGCAAAAAGATGGCCCTGGCAGTAAGGTTCCGAAGAGAGCTCCTCGATGGTCAGCGACATGGCCCGCACGTTTACCAACGCTTCGAGCCATCTAATCAAAGGAGTCGTCGCTACCGAGTGACGCTCATCCAGTCCGGGGACGCGAGCTTTGAACTGGGCGGCCCACGAGGTGCTCTGCAAAGAGCAAGGACTCCATCTGCACAAAATGGAGAGGAAACCTAAGCAACACAGCATGCTAAGAGCGGCCGCTCAGCGGCTCAGCTCAACTATGAAAAGCTTCAGAGCTCCAGGCCAATGCCTGTTGACCGCCGCGAACTTCTCAAACAAACACTCCTCAGCTGCAGGAATCGTTATCGGCATCTCAGAACTCCAATGCGCTCGAAGGGCCTCAAACAATGAAAGCATAACTCTGTTGTACTGGTATCTACCAGAATGAGGCAACAATACAAACGGAAGATGCGAAGCCGACGAAATCCAACGCAGGAAAACTCACCAGCAGAACTAAGGCAGGTTCCGAAAGCCCTCCGCTGGTTCCAAAGCGGCTCACCAAGACAGAGGCATTCAACACAGGCCTTCACGGTGTGTAATTACTCAGAGCATCTAGTAGCATGCTACAGGATGCTTCCCGGACTGCTCGGGCTTGGACACGTGCATCGCATTTGTGTGCAGGCCCAGTGGTCTCAACGTCGGCACCCGCACTCCGAATTGCCACTGGACCTCTCTCGCCTGTCAGACAGTGCTTCAGGTCTAAAGTCAAGTAAACACCGCAGACAGAAGCTGAGAATCAGTCAACGAACACACTGTTCGCTATGACCACATGTTCTTGGCCTCCGCTTCACGGAAGCTCATGAAACGCGTGCAGAAAAAGGACCGTCTGAGTACCATCGCTCATCAAGATGTCTGCAAAGTCTGCCGCCCAGCCAGTGCGATCGGCTTCAGGCACATCCTGCGGCAGCTTGGCTTGGTGGCTTGACCACGCAAGCATAAGCTAGGATTCTCATCGGTCCCACATCACGGGCAGGCCAGCGTAGAGAAGCATCGGCATGCGCATGTTGATCAGGAAGCGACACCAACCTTTGAACAATTAAGTTGGGGTTTTCTTGTTTCGATGCACCGAGAAGCTCGCAAGGGGCACGCCCAATGGTTGCGAGCACATAAGCACGTCGGCCTCTCGCGAGAGCCTGCTCGAGCAAACTTGGCAATTGAAAAATGCATATGCTAGATAAGTCTTCCATCCGACACGACGACTTCTTGTCATGACAATTTCGGTGTGCAACCTTTGCCCCAGAGCTTCTTCGAAAGCAGCTGCAACGGTAGCGAATGCCTTGACAACAGACAGCTTCGAGCCAAGACAGCCGGCAAACTCTATCCGTCGCTTCTTAAACTACTTGCCTGCTTCTCCTTGTAGTAGCGTCGCAGAAGTCCCTGCAGGAGCTCCTCAAGGGAAGTTCCTAAGAGCTGGATTGCAGCCACTAATGTCTAAAGAGAAGTGCAGCTGAAGAGGTGTCCCTTGCAGAACTTCAACATTCGCACACTGTGCTGAAGATGCGAACGCCTTTTCACCGCGCGTGCAGCAGTCCCTGCTTGGCAGAAGAAGCACCACGAAGGCACTACCATGCACCATGTGCAGGGCGCATTGTGAACCAAGGACCATCCCAATCGTCTTCAGACAAACCCTTGGTGCTCTCAGAAACCCAATCTACAGACAGCATAGGTGGCTCCGCCAGCCAGGATTGCCCAAAGAAGTGTCATTTCTCCGAAGTTACTAGACTTTAGGCACAAGAACATTGCCTGGGCCACAGATGCCCCGAGTCCTGCAGCGAATCGATCGTGTCTTGGAAATGGAATCCGCATGCATAGCAGGGCCAGTGGAGCACCGACTGCTGCTGTCGCCTCTTCTGCAAGTTCCCAAACATTGTCACCCAGTTTGGACACACCGCTGACCAAACCAAGAGCAAGGACGACAGTTGCATGATCCGCCCATGCAGCTTGAGGCAAGATTTGACATCTTCTAGCTTGACTTGCCATCACCTTGGCGCACATCAGGATGCTGGTGTCGACCGTGTTCAACGATTCCAGGATCAAGATGCCGACCAGAACATGCTCCTTACCGGTCAGCTGAGGCGGCAGAAGTCGCTGCACGGCCACTCCAATGACTTGATCTTGCGACTCGCAAAGATCCTGTCCGTCGGAAGTCTTGAGCAAACCATTGTAGTTCGACCAAAGGCCAAGGATGGCAGGGGCCAATCCAATGGTACCAAAGAGCAAACACGCAATCAAGCATGCGAGCCTCGCTTGTCGTGGAGACTTGGCCGCGAGTACTCGACCGGCCAATTCCTCCAACAGCGAACTTGTTAGCGGCAAGAGACGGCGCAACAGCAAGCGCATGAACCTGTTCTGCTTGCAGCACTCTTTGCGGCAGGTCTTTCCATGCCAATGTTGCCAATATCATCATCGTAGGGGCAACGACGAGCATGGAGAGAGCGTCCAACCAAACATCCGCCAGGAAGCCCCCAACAATAGACCAGGACAACAGCCCGAGAGCTACTGCTAGCTCAAGCCATTCGGCTGCACAGACGTTTAGGCCGAGAGCCAAGCTGAGAATTGCCTTGTACTGGGCCCCTGCCCAAAGCACCGATCCAATCAAAGACAGGGCAGCCGCAATTCCACCTACAGTGCTCCCAAAACGATGGACCATCAAATCGGACATGGTGTCGTACCTTCCAACGAATGGGCCCAACAAAAAGCCAAGAGCCATCAGGCAAGCAGCTGCCCCCAGAGGATCCAAAAGAATGGCAGGAACTGCATGGCTGCAGGCGACTTCTCCGGTCAAGCCAGTGATGTTCTCCGAGCCCACCCAGTTTGCAACCAAGCTAAGCGCAACGACCGGAAATGGCAGCATCGAGCGATTCACCCCAAAGGCGAAAGTGGCACATGCGACTTGAGCCGTCAGCAAAGACATGGAAACACCAGGAGTTGCGTGCATCTGTGACAAGATACCAGCAAGCTTGCTGTAGAAGAAGCTGACAGCAGCACTGCATAGGAATAGCGTTTCAAACTCGACTCCAGCAAAGTCGCAAGGTCTCGCCTTGTCCTCTGGTTGCGCACACAAGTCGTAGTTTCGGCCTCGAGAGACGCCGAGAGCTCAGAACCTGACTTGCTTTGGGCCCTTTGCTGAGAGCTCGGCAAACATTGCCAGGAAAGGAATTCCCAAGAAAGCGAACACGAACCTCAGCTGACGGCAGGACAAGGAGCTATAGGTCTAGCTTATTGCTAGGCCCAATTTTTCTCTGCTTCTCGTGCGTTGCTTGAGTGACCGTGCTCTCCAGCGTCCCTCTCATTTAGATCAGTACTTTTTCCTCCAGCCTATCTGGAGACAGCGAGCACCAATCTTGACAATGGCTTCACTTCTTAAGCGCCAAGGCTGTGGCTTTCATCGCATGACCAAACCTGGTAAGCATAGTCTTCGCCTCCGCTTGCACGAAAACGGACACCTAAAATCCAGGACACACTTGGCTTGCAATTCCTCCCCAGCCAACGCCGTGTGGTCGTCAAACTGCCAAATTCGCAATGCAGGAACAGCATCAGGCCTCAGTTCGCAGCATTAAACGTTTGTTCACCAGGGCCTTCTGGAGTGCGGATGAGTCCTGCGCTCCATTGCCCGATGCGTCTTTTTCGCATCTTCTGACGTCCCCTGCCTCCGACTTTCTAGGTGTTGCCACGCACAATTTAGATGCAGTGACTAAGAAGCCCACCAACGGCTGTGCAAGCGCAAAAAGGCTGGTCCCTCCAATCCTGGACATAGGAGGAACTGAAATCTTGCTTTCAAAGCGACCGTATGCGAGTGCGAACTGATTCGACAACATGTTTCGGCATGGAGGGGCACGAGTGCGAATCGTGATGCCTTCCCAACAACCGCTTTGGGTTTCGCGTCCATAGTCGAAGACAAATTGAAGAAAACACGCTGGCACCCGCGATAGTGTGGCTATAGATGCCTCTGCGAGATGACCCCGCATCCCTGAACAGTTTCAGGCCCTTCAGCTTTACAGCGGTTGCTGCTGTTGCCTCAGCAGTTGTTTTTGAAGCCTGAGCCTTCAGACCTTCAGCCACGTACAGTCTTTTAGAGGAGTTTGGACACCGTCAGGCCCCTTTGACCCCGTCTGTTAAGTAGCACTGCTAGCACCATGTGGCTCCCCAAGCATACTCCAAGAAGACGCCCAGCCAACATCACTGGCATGAGGATTCGACGATCAAGCTACCAAAAGAGGCCCAGAGTTAACCGTGCTGGGAACTCGAACGTCAAAAGAATGGCTCCCCCTGCCCTAGGCCTGGAAGCCGACCTGCAGCACGAACTTGCTCCAGATCCTTGCCCACGAGGAGGCGCTGCGACACCTCGGAACAGCGAGGCGAAAGCCCGCGAAGCGGCCATCGATCGGAGCCCAGCAATGTGCACGTTCAACATGACCAGCAGGGAGTCTGCGGGCCAGCCGGAAGATCTCAGCCTCAATGGGTCCCCATCAACTCAGCGTCCGCGGCTGACTGGAAAGCGGGGCGACCAGTCGAATGCAAAGAAGTCGCCGAGGAGGACGTACCTCGCGGCAGAATTCTTTTCGAAGTTCCCCTTCTGCGAGGGAGTGCAGCGCTGGAGAGCAGCGGCTCTCTCAGCCCCCGGCGCGAGGAAGAGCATCCGGCCGGCCTGGGCCTGACGAAACTCACCCAACGCAGAGAGCGTGGCTCTTTCACGCTCTTCCTCTCTCTTTCTATTTCTCTTTCTTCTGCTGGTCTCAGGCCGGGTCCACCGAATGAGGGAATTCGAACTGGGCCGCGATCACGAGAGCAGTCAGGAAACCTGTGCCGGTTTACCGACGAGGAGCCAAGAGGTGCCATGCCAAGTGGTCGGACCGAAGTGGCAGTACTCCGAGGGCGTCCGCTGAACGAACTCCAGCCCACGGTTCCTGCATGCAAGCACGAGGGTTCACGACTGCTCTGGAAAAGCATCCCTGAGGCCTGAAGTAATGGGTGATGAGGTAGCGGTCGAAGTTGACGCTCGCTTTGCAACGTGCACCCCAGTCCTCATCAAGATGAAAAGCTCTGCGACACGGCATGCGGCTCAGCAGGATGCGTCCTCCACAAAAAACCAGGCCAGGTGCTGGGTGGTCTGACAATCCTCCAAGACGAACAAATGAGCTGCTCGCGGACAAACTGAAAGGTGCCGAGCCTCCTTACAAACGATCCATCTCCACTTCGCCACCAGGCTTCTAGCCATCGACTGTTCAGAAAAAATGAGCTATGCGGCTATGCTGAATTGAAGCTTTGCGAGGCCAGGCGCAACAAGGCCTCCAGCTCTTTGGCACCGCTCACCTCGACATCCCAGCCATTCCTGTGGCAGTCACCGACCCCAAAGGCTAGACGGTCGCAGTCCCGACGACTGACAAAGCCTGCTATGGGCAACAGCTGCCAGGCGAAATCTCTCCCATTCCGGTGAACTTGAACAGTCCACGTCTCTGGGTCGCAGGACCTGCAGCATGAGCGAGGTCTCTTCAAGGCTTGCAACTGCCGCCTTGGCGATTCTTTTGACTCTCGTCAGCTTGCGCCATCTCAAATGACTTCAGGCACAGGCTCACTGGCATCAATGGGCGAGTCGAGTAAAGCGTAAGGGCCCAAGAAGCCACCATAACGCTTGTGTGCCAGCCAGCAGGCACAATTGACCACACCTTCTGGACAACTGTTTACGAACCTGTCCTTGTTCTCGAAGAACGTCGAGCGCAGTTCAGCTAACTGCGCTGACATGCTTGATACTATATCCGGTCGCTGATCGAAGAAGTTCACTTGCTCAGTTGGGTCGTGCTCCACGTCGAACAGACAGCCATCAGAACATGCGGAAGCTGTGACCTCTTCGGAGCTTCCGTTTGGGAAGCGTGGGCCTTGCCAAAAGCTAGGTGCAGTCGCAGCAGTGATGAGCTTCCAAGCTCCTGAGATGAGGCACGTACTGCCCACGGGCACGATGGAGCGCGGCGAGCGTTCAGCGGCTCCACTCAGGTAAGGCCAGACATTAAGCGAATCTACCGGCGGCAGACCCGCGGCTGCGGCGCGGTCATCAAAGACCGAGACACCTGCAAGACTGCAGAGAGTTCCGTACCAGTCTGCGATGTGTATGATGCCGCTTTTGCTCGTGCCGCGCATCCCCTGCGGAATTGCACCCCCAGAGACAAAAGCGGCTGCACGTATTCCACCCTCAAACTGGCTGTACTTTCCACCACGGAGTGGCCAGTTGTTTGCTGCGTTCTCTGCCAGTCTCACCGGCCCACCGTTGTCGGAAGAGAATATCATGAGCGTGTTGTCCCACATGCCTTTTGTTTTCAAAGCGCCAGTAATATTTCCCACAACTTCATCCATTAGCATGACCATCGCAGCATGCTGCTGCCGGCACTTGTACTCCAGTGTCAAGTTCGATGGATCAATAGGATGCTCGCTCAGAACTGTTTGTTGACGGCATTGGTCCTCGTCGTCGGACATCCAACTAAATTTGTTGTAGTACTGCTCTGGAACCTGCAACGGGCAATGGGCAACATGCGGGGCATAGAACAAAAACAGCGGAACACCCGGATCGTGTTGCTGAATGATCGATAGCATCTCAGCCTGATAGAGAAATTCGGAATATCCGGTTCCATTTACATCATGTGCTCCGCGGTTGGTACGCCAGAAGTCTATGATGGAGGGGTCTGACTCGCAGCAAGTCTGCATGTTGCCTTGATCGTAGAAGTCGTTCTTGTGTGAAAAGTAGTGTAGGCTGGTGTCGTAACCTCGACCATGCGGTGAGTGACGTGGGGTTGACATCCCTGCATCCCATTTACCAGCAAAGTGGGTTTTGTATCCTGCGGACTTCATCTTCTCCGCCACTCCTGTCATGTTGTACGGGATGCCAGTGTCGTCATCACAAACATCGCCCAAGCGGGTGTTGACGTGGACAGGCAACCTTCCCGACTGAACTGATGTTCGGGTTGGTGTGCACATAGGATGCACGTAGTGCCGGGCAAGATGGATTCCGGATGCTGCAAGACTATTCAAATTCGGAGTCACAACTTCGGGGTTGGGCTGCTCACGATGAAATCCCACGTCTGCCCAGCCCAGATCGTCCACCAACACGAATAAAATGTGAGGCCTCAAAATAGCATCTGTCCGCCACGCAAGCAGTGCAGGCAAGAATGAACACAGCTTGGCTGCCATGAACGACAAATAAGTCGACAACTTCCTGCCCAAACAGGCAACAGCTGCTAAAATCTACAACTACGCTGCACCGCGCGCTGAAGCTTGAACAAACCGACAACTCACCACTGAGAGCCTGTGGGCCTGTCCATCCCTAAATGGAACTAAAGCGCGCCTCCTCTGCGGTGCGAGGAAGGGGTGAAGCCAAGGAAAACTGAGCATTGCATTGGCTGGGGACACACGCTCAATGCTGCTAAGACCATGCGTCCGCGAGTGCAAAGCGCTCAAAGTACACTGAAGTCAACTGAGGTGCACTGTCTGGTGTGTGCCAAGCAGCGACTCCGAGGACCAGGGCAGCGGGAGCTCTCGGCCGACCTGTGGAACGACGTTCCCCCGCACCCCAATCCCTGTCACTGCCACGCTCCAGCGGATCGCCTGGCCTGGCCACCAACTCATTTGTCGAGAGGCTCATGGCGATGGGGCCTATGCGATTTTGAAGTCTCACTGGGGCCGGCTCTTGTGCTGCACCATGTGTTCACATAAGTGTGTCCCCAATTCAAGAAAGCGGTGATTGCCGCAAGCCAAACGGCTGTTGAAGCAGGTAGAGCATGATCTGATGCGCAATGCCGTATGCTTCGCTCACGAACTTTCCACAGCGCTTTTGAGCTGGGTCAGGCCGTCTTCCAATGCACCTCGCTTCCGTCCAGCGCTGCAGCACCGTAGCAGGATGCATTCCACCGTAAACAATCGTAAACAGATGCTTCCCCTCGAACAGAATGCCGGCCCACCTCTCTGGGTTGAGGATCCCGGCCTTTTGGCACATGCAAAGCTGGCCTGAATCCACAAGGAGCACGGCTCTGCGAGAGAACACGGTTTGTCTGAAGCTTCGTCGGAACCGACTCGGCGCCACGCAGCTTGTCTTGACCTGCCAGGGCATCCAATCATTGCACTTCCTGAATTCCAAACCTGCCTTGTGAAGCGTGGCTGTTTTGACACCGGCGTCACACGTCGTCTCTCCGCCTGGCGCAGAAATCACGCTGGAAAGTCGAAAGGAATCTCAGTCTCGTAGTTATTGTTCCACCATGTGCATGATGGAGTGGAGTGGAGTGGAAGTGAGTCGAGGGGAGGGGAGGGGCGGGGAAGGACCGGAGGGGAGTGCGAGAGAGACAGAGAGACAAACAGAGACAGAGAGTGTGTTGTCATTGCTCGTCTGTTTACTACTACTCATTATCTAATATGGTACGTTTCCTTGTTGCTCAGCGTGAGAATGACAATGGCTTGGATGATAAGCCTTTTGGCAGCTCGGCTGCGCCTGCACTGTCTGGGGCTTCAGGTATCTTCAGGTTGTATCTGGGGTCCGCTCGGGCGAGGCGGACAGCGCTAGGCCTGGTACTCGGCCCAGCGACACCGGGACACTGTCTCGCGCTCCTGCACAAGAGCCGTGTGGACCACTGTCAGAAGGACGAATTTACTTCGCCTGGCTCTTCGCTTCAAGCACGCGCGAGCCAACATCGCAAGCCCGAACCTCACCCAAAGGCGACACGTGGCTCTGCGGAGTCGTCTGCTTCAACCCATGATCCCAGGAGCAGCTGGGTAAGCCACGTCTTGTCTTCGAACAACCATGTCCAGCCTGCCCAGACTCTTTGCATTTGCCCAAGGCCGAGACTGCAGAGACCTGCCTTGGAGTTGGTCGCATCTCCGGGCGTTGCCAGAAGTGCTTGCCCTGGCTGCAGAGCTGAGCCTTGCAGAGTTCCGCCTGCACACCAGTCGCCTCGTCTTTGGAGGGGGTAGAAAAACGATGAGCGGAAGGTCGCAGAGGGAAGAATTGCAGACCTCGCCAAGAAGAGGAAGGAGCAAAACTCGTGCCGGAACCCTAAGAAGCTGGCCTGGCTTTTTCTTTCGGCGCCAGCTTTTACCCTTCGGGCTGAAAGCCGTGTCCTGCTTCTTTCAGTCGCAGAATGCTTCAGAGCGGTCTACACATCCCGCGCCCGCAACTGGAGTTGCCAGTCTCCGTCGCTAATTCCAGGTGTGCCCGACCTCAGTCAAACCCATGGCCCGTCCCGTTCGGAGTCGAGGTGCCATTTGTCTGTGCCAAGGCGCCGCGGAGGATATTCCTCGTGGATATCGTCAAGCCGGTTTTGGCACCATGCCAGGGCCTTGGTGGCTGCGGTTTCCAGCGACTCTATTCCGGCAGGCTGCCAAAGCTGGAAAAAACAAACACGGTCCAAGCGATGCAACTTGAGCCCAACCTAACTAATTAATCCCTTCAGAACACTCTTGCATCATGGAGTGCGGCTGAAGATGGACCCGGCATCCAGTTGTTAGGTCCCTGCTTCTGCTGCCGTGGTGAGGTGCAGGCTAAGGCCTGCAAGCTTGGGAGTGAATCAACACACCCATGTTTTTACATGTTTCCACCTTTTCACTTGCTATTGTGCTTCGCCGAACTGTTTCTGATTCGAATATCTCCTACCCACCGGACCCAGCAAAACAGGAATGCCGTTTTTGCGCTAAGATCAGCTCCAAGCCATGGTCCGTCCAACGTGCCTTGAGGGGCCGGGAAGGCAAAGAGACCTCGAAGATCTGACTCGATCCTTCCGACACTTCGGGAGCCTCGGCCGTCTCGGCCTCGCCTTCTTCCTTAGAGCCCGAGGCCCCTTCGTGGTCTCCCCCTTCCAGTAACACGATGCGCGCAACTTCGTCGCTCACTTGCAGGTCGAGGTTGGCTCTCCGGGCTGTGCTCAGGACAGTTCTCAGGAGCAGCTTGGAAGAGCTCCGGGAGATTCCGCAAACCCAGTCAGGGAGATCTCGCAATGCTCGCAACACGTACAGCAAAGTCTCTCCCAACTGGTACTCTTCGCATTGCCACCCACTCCAGCCCAGTCGGTCCAGTCGGTTCAGGGATGCCACAACTGCATAAGCACCAGGTCTCAGCACCCTCCGGTACTCCGAAAGCAGTGCGCTGCACGTTGGCTGCTTCTGGCTTAGAAGCTCGTCGGGCGCGATGTGGGCCAGTAGGCCCTTGTCGATCAAACAATCAAAGCTGTTCCTCCAAGTGTTGGGCATTTTTGTCGCGTCACCCTGATGCCACCGCACCGAGCTGGGCACCTCCGGCTGTTGTCGGCTCATCCAGTCCATCGCAGTCCGGGACGTGTCCATGCCTGTCACCCGAACCGCCGCACCGTTCGCCGCGAGCAAGGCGGGCAAGTCTGACGTTCCTGTGCCAACGACCAAAACATCACCTTCCAGAGGCAGCCCCTGCAGCAACAGGAACTCCTTCAGCTGTTCAGCGGAACAGTAGCAATCCTCTGAAGACAACTTGCCCTTTCTGGCCAGACTCCGTGCATAGTACTTTTCCCAATAATCAACCATTGAAATCAGCCAGCTTAGCTAAATCCAGGCAGACTCGCCCATGCAAGACGGCGAGACCTTGAGTGCCCTCACGGGTCATCTGTTATCTGCTCACTCTTGCAGCAATGACACGAATAGAATGTTGACAACCTGAGCCGAAAATGCTCCCGTCAAAAGATGTCGCACGTTGTCGCCCCTTGGTTCACTGCTGCAGGAGCGTGTGCCGGTGGCCTTCCTGAATCTGGCTCTGGGTCCAGCCATTCCTGCAGCACTGGAGTTGTGTCTCGTCTCATGCCGCTTGTCTGAAACGTTGCAGATTCGCATATCCAGGATGTATGGACGGGCACTTTTGCCATGATCAGATCTTGGATTCTCAATACAGGCCAAGACAAATTCACATGCCTCTAAGCATGATTAATGACGCCGGCCCCCCCGACTTACCAGCTGGCCTCAAGTCATTGTGCAACAAAGCTCTGAGTGCTGCACATCAGCTGCTGCAACCGTTCAACTCTGCCTTGCTTTGTTTGTGGGCGAGTTGCAGGATTTCATGCAAACGTCGTGGCAAACTGCTTTGGAAACGGCGAGCACTTGTTGAATCGAAGAGATTTGTACAGGTCTGCACGCCGAAGCTCTTGGCGCAAGATGCTCACCGGATGTGCAAGTGGGCCCCGCGCGATCCAGTGCACCAGCTGAAACTTTTAGCAACAGCTCATGGTGACGGCCGAACAGATCCTGCAATGGCGCTGAAACGTCTCTGCCTTTGCCGCCAGCACTGTTATTCTGCATTCTGGTTTGATATTTGGGCTGTCAGCCATCTTCTACAAACTTGCAGTACCTGCAATGGTCCTCCTCGGCATCTGCCATACTTTCCATTAGGATCCACACCCTGTCAGCATGAAAAACCCATGAAGAAGCTGGACTCAGAACCAGCACGAGCGCCCAGCTTTTTGCCACCAAGACCAACCTCTGCAAACAGCCTGGCTGGGCAGTCTTGCATTTCTTCAGCGCAACTTTGCTTCCGAAGCCAACCTCTGCGTGTGCCGGACATCTTCGCACCCGTTCTCGATGACCTTCAAGCACCACGCTGGGCTCAAAAGATTTCACAGATCTTTGGAATCGAGATTGGAACATCCATGATGTCGGCGTCAACGTCCAGGTTGGGAACGCCGGTAGCAGACCTCACCTCTCAAATTTTCTTGTCAAGGCTGGCTCCCACCCACTGTACCCTTTCGCCCTTTCCGGTCGCCAAAGGAAATCGCAGAGGAACCCTTCGACCGACACAGGAGACTGAAAGAAGACGCGTGCAGCACGTCGAACACAGAGGACTGTTGACTGCAGTTCAGTGCATGAGTCTCTGGCCAGTTTGAGTAGCTCCACGGCTGGCAGATCAGAGACCGAAATCCTTGCGAATCATGACCGCACGCAAAACGCCGTGCCTGGGCTCCTCTGCCAAGCAGGTCCTCATTTCGGTTCTGAACCGGTGCGGCAGCCATTCTGATATGGCGTCCGCTTCCTCTGCCATCTCCACGATGGCATCGAATCCTTCGGTGCTTGGTGTAATGTCAGGTTGTAAAACAAGTCCGGGCACTGCCGGGATCACATTGCGAAGGGAAGACTGCAATATCGAGTTGACCGACATTGAGCCCAGGAACCGCTTCTCGAGAGTAGGTCGGCCAACAGCCTGAAAAAAACCAAGGATGCAGACAAGTAGGTGACATCTTGGCCACTAAGCGGTCCTAGCAGCCACTTAGCAGCCACTCAGTCGGAACTTGCGCTGTCTGCATAATTTGCATATACTCACCATCTGACCGTGTTTCACACTGATCCATGCCGACCTGAGTGTCTTACCGCTGGTGCTCCGGTGGCTGTGAGGGCTCACATGGTGGCTGCTCGCTTCTTCGCAGCCACCTCAAGGAGGGAATGCGATGTCAAGCATGGGACCTATTCGAAAAAAACATCCGGGACATGCTGAGGGCTGTGCGTCCAAAGGCGATGCGCCTCTCGTGACGTGAGCTCGGGTGGCTCAAGGCGGCAGCGAGCTCGCTCTTGCTCCCAGTGTCCACGATGAACTTAGAGAACCGACGAGAACTCTTGGAATTGACTCTGTTTTCGGTGGGTCTACATCGGCGCAGCACAACCGAACAGCCCTCTGTCAAATACCATACCTGGACCGGCAAGGAGATCTTTGGGCGAGCAGGTTCTTTCTGCGCTAGTTAGCCTTTGACTGGGTGAGAACATGGTATCTTGCAAATAGAACCAACTGCGAACATGCTGAACAAACTGGGACCGGCACATTTCGAAAACATGGCGCAGTGAGGTAATGGTGGCTTATGATTATGCGTGCGTCTGCTTTCTGTTTGAAGTGCCGGCCGTCACCCATGTACTCGCGACCTAGCTTATTGTCACGAGCCCACGCAGCTGCAGTCAACACCGGCTCTATCGCCAATCACCACGACAAACGAAGGATAACTTTCCAAATCCCATGCGCTGGCGCGGCTGTTCTTTCTCCACTGGCCAGACCTGGATGCTTGCATGGGTTGCAGCCCGACTTGCCCTGCTCAGGAGTGTATTCCTATCATGTCCCTCATTGTTAGACGGCAGCCCCCTTACAAACAACTCGTGATTCCAGGCTCCAGGAACGAGTAACGAGCAACCTGCGGCCAGATGCAGGGGCTCGGGTGGAGACGCATCGCGACGCCTTCGGCCCAGGACAGACTTAAGAGGAGCTCTTCTAGGATGTTCCTTTCTTGTCCTAGCCCTTGGACCACGGAGGGCTGAGCTTGGCTCCTAGCTCTTGCTGTGCCAAGCACAACAGCAAGCGCAACGCCCTCGGGTGGAGTGCACTGAAATATCTTTCGCGAGCGAAAGAGAGTCGACGAGCGTAGCCGGGAAGTGCCGGCTCCTGGAAGACCCCCGGAAAGGATTACCCAGGCTTCAAAGGGCCTCCAGCCATTGCAAAGGCCGTCACAGTCTCCGAAGCACTCAGCTTTGCAGAGCCAATGATAAGTTTCAGAGGTACGTTTAGAGTTCGTGTGGGTCAAAGGCCGGCCTTTGACGAGGTGTAAGATTGCCTGGACGGGTGCCACGGCAAAGGAGTCCAAGACTCGAAACATCCTTTGAACCTTCGCGCACAACCGTGCGTCCGACCACCAACCGCTCGCGGGGAGTGCGTGCTGTCGGGCAGGGTTCTGCAATGTTCTGCAGTCTCAAGCTTAAGTCAAAGATCTACAGCAGAGCAACTCCCCGATTGCAGGAACTGGACACAGAGAAAAAACCGACATGGCAGAGTTTGAAGACATCCGCTCTCGGCCCAGCATTGGGGCCGAAGTCGTAAGCACCTCTTCCTGGTAGGGGAGCTTTAGGCAGCTGTTACCTGGTTGATTTGATGTCCAGATCGCGGGTCAGATTGATGAGGCACATTGATCTCACAGATCTTTCGGATTCCCCTGGCGTTATCGCTTGAGTTTTTGTGCCTGAGAGCGCTCCACACGAGAAATCCGGAAGTGTATGTTCAATTCACGCAATGTGTGTACAAGACAGCTATGCAAACTTGCAAAGGGATTCAGAGGCCACATGGCCACATGGTGTGGCACATGGGCGAATTCGTGTCGCTTCAAACCATTCACAGCTCGAGAACCACAGGTCCGACTCTGGCGCAACGCCAAGGAAGCGTGTGGCTCTGGGATTTGCAAGTAGCAACACGAGTGTGCACTTCCATGCCAAGGCCTATGTTTTGTTGAACAACTTGCAAAGACTGGCGGGCTGGCTGCCCTGACGGGACGCCCGTGACAAGCGATACACGCGATGCAGCGTTCCTTACGAAACTTGCGACTGCGAGGACTGTGAGGATGGTCGTCGCGGCATTACACCTCGCCTGGCGAGAGCAGCTGTCTCATTTCGACGATTTGAGGCGGGCAAGCGGGCCTGTACGTACTGGTGCTGCAGTCTGAATCCTCAGGCCCACTGGGCGCGCTGAGAGACTGCTGCCCGGAACCCGAGGAGCGCGTCGGCGGCACAAAAGAGTAGTCCCAACCGCTCACCTGAGAGCGCAAATGGCACATTGCAGCACGCAGTCCAGGTGGATTCGAGGTGATGACCCCACGCTCGGAGCTACCGTTCTGCCCGCGTGCATACCTCGCAGCTCAGCCACGGCCAGAACACATCAGATTTTACATCAGAATCAGAGATCCACGGACCACTGACTGGCCTTCCACGCCAACCTCGTTCTGCCCTGGCGAAGGGACTTTCCGGAGTTCGTCCGGCCAGACCCAACGGGCCATTCCTTTTCGCCAGCTCGCTCAAAGGCTTCGACGGCTGACACACCGCGCCTGTTCCAGGAAGCTGGCTCATCCAATGGATGCGCCTCTGGGGGCAACACCTGCTGGAAGCGACGGAAAAATCTCTCAGGAAATGCCCTGCCCTGCCATTGCCTCCCGGCGCATTAGCTGGGCGAAGTCGACTTCAGCAAAGAATACATGACCCTGCAAGGCCACAAATTCCCACAAAGTTAAAGGAGCCAAAAAAGTACGGTAGAAGCGCCTTCACGTCACTGGTGTGGTGTGCACCGATTCGCTTGGCGGGTTCTCGGTCCATGGTTGCCTGGCCAAGGCGAGTGACAACATTTTTGTCGTCCACGCTGTCCCGGCTCTGCAAACTCGAGTCGTCAGCTATGCCTCAATGAAGGAGCGTCCTATGCGCGACACATACAGCGGCACCTGCACGCGGATCAAAGAACATTTTGCTTCATGATGCATCATGTGCAAGCGACGATAAGGGCCTCTAGAGGTGCATGCTTGATGTTCGTAAAGAGGGTCTCCCTGTCGTGGTGATAAAACCTTCGGCACAAGGATGTGGCAGGATGCGGGCTCTGTGAAGCAAAAATCTTGAGCATTCGACGGTGGCAGGCCGGTCAACATATCGTACAACAACACGCCCAGATTGTAGATGTCGACTGTATGGTTGTGGCCTCCGACATCACAAGATGTTAGGGTGGCACAGCTGACTGAAGGACGGAAAAACGAGCCCGCCTTTCCGCAGGAGAATCTCTGGAGCCAGAAAGGCGACCGAGCCACAAAACGACTTTGTGCCCCGCTGGCCGACACCCTCCTCTGAGCAGAGAGCGTGAGACAGAGTGAGTCTGGAAGTTTCGTCAGGGATTTGACAGCCATACAGGCATGCGCAGAGAGTGCGCGTACGTTCATGCGCAAGACATCTGCAGATTTCGCACTCATGGATCTTCGCTCTCATTCCGGAGACTCGCCTTCGAGAGCCCGAAGTCCGTGAGTAGTGCATGGTGCGCCTCATCGATGACAACGTTGTCCTGAAAGAACTCTGCAGGAACCGCTCTGTGTGCTAGCACGCAAAGGGCAGGCGTGCCGGCTTGAGGTCGCGGAAAACCGTATGCCTTGCGAGGGAAAGAGCTCCTATGAGCTCACGCGTTCCGACTTCCACGAACGACCCCCTGCCTCTCATGCAGGTGGATCAAGGCGAGAAGAATTTCAGCCTGGAGTTCCGGGCAGTTCTAGAGTTGGAAGGCTCTGGGAGTGGCCAAGGCATACCGAGGCCCGGGACTGTGTAGACCCTTGACAAATCTTCGCATAACCGCTTCTCCCGAGTGATCAGGTGCCTCACTCGGCCACAAGGTCTTTTCAAGCCCGAAAGCTTTGCCACAGATCTCAAATGCTGGGTATCCGGCTGCAGGTTCCCTCGGGGACAGTACTGGAGCACCAGCACAAGGTGGCTAGGAGTTTGGAAAGCATAATGAAGTGAAACGATGTACGGATGGTGAATATAGGCGAGAATGTTCCTCTCTGTCACAGCATATCGAAGAAGGTTGCTGCTCATTATACGGCTCTTCTGCAGCACCTTCATGGCATAGGCCTTTCCGGTGCGCTTATGCTTGACCTGGAAAACTTCTCCGAATGATCCACGACCGAGGAGGTTGACTAGCTCGAAGGAGTTGGGACCAACCTTCTCCACTCTCGAGCTTCCTTGCCGCATACGAGCAAAGGGCGTCCGGATCTTGGGGGTGCTTGTTCCGCTGCTGGCTGACGGAGATCGTCCGGGAGAGTCTTTCGGTGAAGCGGCCTTGAAAGACTTCGCACTCAACGTCCTGCCGTCCCTCTCACGATCCTCGGACTGGGCCTCGTCCAGTTCTCGTGTCAGCTGCATCAGACGGCGTACTGCGTCGGTGCGAGCGTTGCGAAGAAGGAAGCCATTCGCCAGCGGCGTGCGGTCGTAGCCATCTGCGCAGACTTTTGCCGGGCCTTCCGAGCTGGAGGCCCGAGGGAGCAAGGGCCCCGGCCCAGGCACGTCCGTGGCTTCGCCGCAGCTCCAGCTGCTGCCAGTGGCTGTGCTCGCCTCGCTGGAGGCGCTGTTCCGGCGGCTCGACGTCATCGACGTCTTGCATCCCAAGCCCAAGCCTCCCAGAAACCGCCCTTCCGCTTCAAAGTCCCGAAAGATGCACAGCGTCTGGAGGTCTGATGCCGCCTCGACCGGTCTTTGACCCGATGCGTTCCGAACACCGACTTGGCCGTGACCCTCATGACCCTGGTCACGCGAGTCACGCTCATGCTGAAGCAAGATCTTCACAACCTCGGTGTGAGCATTTGCGGCAGCATAGTGCAAGGCCAACTGCCTGTCCTCTGTCTTAGACATCGCATCTGCTCTCGCCTCTAGAAGCAGTTCGACCATCTCGGAGTTTCCATTGGCCGAGGCCACATGCAAGGGAGTCAAGTGGGTCTTCCTGCTGCAGAAATTCACGTCCGCACCCTGCGAAAGCAGAGCCTCAACTGCTTCGACCACTCCTGAAGCCACAGCCAAGTGCAGAGGCCCCCTGCCGGAAGAGGCGCCTGACTTGCAATGAGAATGAACAGCAGCTGGCGGGCCCCCATCGCTGGGATGTGTCAGCTCGTGGATGATCCTGATATTGCCTTCAGCAGCAGCTTGTAGCAAACGCTCGTCCTCCAAGGATGCCAAGCGTAACATTTCGACAAGCTACCTTCTCACTTTCGGCATAAGGCACCTTGCGCCTCTTCTCGGACCTGAGAAGGGAACGCAATCAAAAAGCACAACGGCAAAAGCCGCCAGAAGCTGGGCTCTGTGCCACCACTGCCGCCAGTGCTTGGATTTACGCAACCGACTTGGTTCGGAGGGAAAGCCGACCTTGGCACCCGAAACAGGCCATGGCCCTTTGCAGCCCACAGGCCCACAGGTCGCGAATGTTTCCAGGCCGTGCGGCAAAGCTTTGGGTCAAATTGTCCATAGCAAAGGGTCGAACCTGAAAGCTGCATGGACGTGCTGCCCTCGTGCGCCTCGTGATTGGCAGGCCTCACCAGTGTCCAGGTTCCGCAGCTGACAAGAATTTGTGAGATTCGGGGCCGTCGACGAGGGATCCTGCGCCGCTTCGCTTCAAGGCAGGCCATGCAAGCCATGCAAGCCTGCTCAGCATCCAAGGCAGCTTAAAATCGGATCCCCACCTCGAAGACTGTCTCGAAAGGCTCTTCAGCCAGGCTCCTTCACGCTGCTCACATGATCTCACATGTATACCAAACAAGAATTCGCCTCGAGATTTAAAAGACTTCTCGTTTTCTCAGTTCTGTTGGGTTAGGCATGAGCTGAACCTGTGGAGGAAGCTTTTCCGGAAGGATAGGCGGGCTGCATCATCATCGAGGGTCCCCTGCTAAACCAATCAATCCATTTCAATTTTGCAGAGCGGTCAACGTAGACTCGATGGGTCACGGGTGGCCTCAAGAGCGTCTCGACAGCCGTCTCGACGGCGGAGGAGTCCTATACGCAGCCCGGCCACTTGAATCATTGAAGTGACGTGCCGTCGAGCAGATTTAATGCAGTGGCGGTCTCCTTCTTGTCTCTGCGAAGGGCCGGGCCACCAGCATCCTCTCACGGCACGCACTTCTCACGGCACGCTGTCGGCACAGGCCCGAGCAGGCCTCGGGGCCTCCTCCAGCTGCCAGTGCGTCCAGTGCCTCCTGAAATTCAAGAATGGAGGCACACTAAGGCTAAGGTGCTGAGAGACGGGGGTGCCATGGTCCTCACGATCCACCGGACGCAATGGCAGAAGAGGCTTCTTGGCGGCCTCAGCCCACACAAGTTCGGGGCAACGGCAATGCAAACCTGCACGAGCCTCCATGTCGAATGGCGACCCTTGCCTTCGGACATTCGGGTGCTGCTTAATAACCCAGAACCTACTCACGTGAAATGACGGAAGTTTCGGTTTCACGGATTTCCTTTATCTCCACCACTTCTTGGGTTTTCCGTTCGGCTTCGTTTAAACTTCCTGGCTTTATGCTGATTATGAGATGTTGTGAGTACTGAAGCTGTTGCAGACCAGGCCCGCAGTGTGAGTCAGCTGCCGCTTCTTAGCGACTCTCACGACCGACGTCGTTGAACCCCCTCTACTCCCCTGTCTCGCTTCAGCTGGCCGCGTGCTAGGGCTGAAGAGGCCTCAACGCCGCCCCTCTGCTTCAGACTCCCTCTCCTATGGAAGCCTACTTCGACCTATGTGAAGTCCAGTTGTGAACAAGATGGTCAGATCTTTTGAAACCCACCGTCGGATCAAGTTAACAAGCTTCACACATCCGACAATTCCAGCCTCACAGGTATTGAGGCGCATCCCCCCGCCGCGTCTGCTTGTGACATGAGCTCTGCTTTGCAGGGTCTTCAAGCTGCAGTGGGCTTGGAACACGTCAACGACTCTCGCCTGCCTCCCCAGATTTGCATGATGGCTATGTTCTTGCTAACTGGAAAGCACCTTGTACCAAGAAATCAGACTTCGCCGGCTGCAGCAGTGCTTCAACATCTCTGCACAAGAGACTCTCATGCACTGGCAACACCCAGAACTGCACACAGGCGCCAAAATGCTGTTGTAGCAGAGCCGCTTTTATTCTACCCTTGACAGTCAGGCGCTGCAACACCGCTTGTCCTCTTGACTTTGCTTGAACTCGGGCTGCTTTGGATTTAAAGTTCTTGTCTTCTTAGCCCCTGCATGACGGCAGGAATGTCTGCGACAGCTGGGCAGCGAAAGCCCTGCTCAGTAGTACTGATTGATTCCATCGCATCCCATCAACAAGCGGCGATAAGCTGTTTGTCGCTCACAAGTCGCTGTACACCGTGCTTAGGCCTCCTACCCTGTGCCTTTAGTAGCATGTTTGGGGCCCAACAGCCAAGTCAGACCAGGTTTCTGCCATGGGCTAAGTTTCCACTTGCAAACAACCGCAATGTGGTTATAAATGCGGATCCTGTACTTGCGGGCGTGCGGCTCAATACACAAGATTCACAAGAACCCATCGACAAAAGCGTATTGTGGCTTCTTCACGAAACCCAGATCCGGGCCCAAACGGCCAAGTTTCTGCAATCGAGGGTTCACGGCCCGCAATAGCAAATGCCTTATATGCTTACTGTAGCGGTAGCGACATTTCTGCGGGACTAACAGAACCTCGAAAGTCAACAGATGCGGCTTCGCTCTTCTTCAAAGGAGAGCCAAAGCTTCAAGTGCAACTTGATGCAGATGCACAGTGTGCCCTGCAGCTAAAACACGATCACTTGATCCTGGCATCCGTCGATGAGCTGTGCATCGCTGTGCGTGATCAGTTCCAATTTCAATGGCCGCAGCCTGGCAAAAGGAACACTCCTTTGATCCTTTGCATTTGCTCAGTGTGGTTGGGCTGGGCCAAAATGACTGAGGGGCGGACTGGGAAAAAAAGGCGATGTGCCGACACGAAGTCCTTGATTTCTTGACCCTCACGTCGGACATTCAAATGCCGCACGTCACCTTGGCCGAGTCAGAGAAGCAAGGCTGCCAGTCACACTGCGGACATTCGCAGCCACGACAGCATGAACCTTTCAGCTTTCATCTCCAACTCTGACGCTCTGGAGTATATCCCACGCTAGTGACCCACATGCCCACGGTCTTCCTGCATCCAAGCAGCTTCTGAAGGTCTCGATGGCTAAACACTTCAAAAGTGAGAAAACCGCAGTCGCGCGGTCATGCCCAAACAGAGCTTTGTTTGCGCTTGTCCCGAGCAACTTTTGAAGCGAGACAAGAACTGGCAAAATCTGCCCGTGCCACAGTCCTTGACCGAGTAGGGTTTTGCCCCTCGTTATTGGAAGCTGGCTGGGTGCACGATGGACTTGCGGACGGGCGAAGACCCGCCAAGGAAGCCGCTCTTTGCAGCTAGCCGGGGCAAATGGCGCAAATTTTACTGCATACAGAAAAAACACTCACGCGCAGTAGCTCCAACAAAAATATTCTCATGAATGTAGAGTCCTCACTACACCACAGACCACAGATGTTGCATGTGCATTGATTGGTATCGTGACCGATCAGCTTATGCTTCCTTTCTGAAGCATCAACTGACTGGCACGACGGTCTGGCGGCCGAATTACAGCCCGCATGTAGATAGGATTGCGTGAGGTGACGTGGCATGGACAAGTATCCAGCGCACCTTGGAATGTCTCTTGGTATCAAAGGCATGGAGACAAGAGAGCCTGTAGTACTGTCACCCGCTGGGAAGGTGTGCCATGTGGGTAGAATATCAAGAGCTGCGGCAAACAGGGCTTGTGACAGGCCAGGCTCAGGACGATCCACCGCATGAAGGCTGTCACGCCCCGCAAATTCTTGGGCCTGAGACTCCGGAGAGACTGGCACCGTAGGTGACCGTATGCGGTTTGTACACCTGCAAGTTCGGGTGATATCGTGCAATAACAATAATAACTGACTTATTTGTGACGTAACTGTGCGTATGTGTGGTTGTGTCTGTGTGTGCGAGGGATGGAGACAGGCCAAGAGTCAAACATTCGTAAACATTCAGCTCCATCGCTCGATTGCCGTGCGAAACGCACTGAAGGTCGAATGCGAAACTCTGGGAAGAAGCTTCCATTGAGTATTTCATTGCAGCACGGCCAAGCGACGAACATGTTCAGACAATACGGGCCTACGATGTGCAGAATCAATGCTGGAAGGCACACTACTAGACTAGCTTTGCGCGATTTAACGCCCGTTTCTGCACATCTGTTCCGTGAGCATGCATCGTCCGGAAAAGAGTGAGCTCGTCACAGGCTACACGTCCGTGCAGCTCATCTTCAAGTGCTCCAAGAACGACTGCCTGCAAACGAATTCTTTACAGCCTGTGCTTGTGCATGGGCCCCGCGCGGTGGCTCCATGATCCAAGTCCGTTCGGACAAATGGAAAAATGAAAAACCTTCAAGACCCTTGCTACTCTCTCACAGCAAACGTTGCCCCTCGAAGAAACAAAGAAAACAATTCTGCAAAGCGAATGACTGAAGAGTATTCGGTGTGGCTGAGTCCAAGGCCCAGCGCCTTTGGATCCCAGCGCCAAGATCGCAAAAGCGATCAGGGGCAACATTGACGCAGTAGAACTGTGGAGGAAGTCTCCAATGCCCAAGTTCAGACAGCAAATGACGGTCCAAACATGTCAGTAACTAACAGTATGTTTGACATACTTGGGTGGGAGACTAGTCATGGCTGGGGTGTAATGTGCAATTGCCCGGCACAGCGTCAAGAAACGATGAAGCAATTGCCCGCCAGTCGTTGGGTCCTGAAACCACTGATCAAGCAATGCAGTTCTGTGCGCACTGTGTGCAATGCTGCAACGTGCATTTCGGGTCAAGACTTGGAAATCCCAAACACGTGACCTGCCGCCAGTGCCACCTATTTTGACAGCACCAAGGACGCCCTTGCCGCTCCTTCTTTGCGGACGGTTTGCGGCGCGGCAAACCTGGCCAGATGCATGTCTGCGTGCTGCGAGTAGGAAATGATTTCTCCTTTCTTCTTGTCCCGCCCAATTCATGCCGCTAAATGACGTTTAAAGGCAAGGCCACGAATCAGACCATGCCGTTGCACGTTACCTTTCACACACACACACACAGACACCTCCGAGGGAACATGCCGCAGCCAAACAAAAGCAATCAGAAAGCGTGAAAGGACTCGGCCGGAATGCCCATCGAAAACACAGGCCCAAATTGAGTCGGACAATCACATCCCGAACCTCCACTTGCAACAAAAGAACAATCAACCGACGTACGAGCAAGTGAAAAAATGGCTGCATTGACCTTTGTCCTTTCATCCGGTGGTCGCCTGTACGGTACCGAGATGATGGAACCCTACGACCACGAGGTAAAGGATGGGCGGCAGATCGAGATCAGGAAGATAAGGATGAGGAAAACGATGAGGATGATGACAATGGTGATGATGCCCATGACTAATGATGAAACTATGACGATGAGGAGGAGTGAACCCCAGTAGTCCCTAGATTTCGATTGCGACAAATCCTCAGCCCCGAAAGAAGTGGGGGAAGTGACACACACGCCTGAAACTCTTAAAGCAATCGGTGTACGGTTCACGACATCTATATCGAATCTATGTAAACTGAGCAGTGCAACATATCATTCGTTTTCCCGATGCATCATGTTGTCCCGTCCGTGCTTCTTTGTGGTTTTCCGAGCGCCAGTGACAACTGCGGCCTTAGGAGGTTGTGCATGCACGATGTTCTCGTTGGCACCTTGCATGGAGGACGGGCGGCCCATCATTGGGTCTCATTACATCTTGTCGGGTTCTGAGGCGCAGACCAAGGATGCTTAAGAATGTTGCCAGATGAAGGCCTCAAGCGAAGCACTGGACAGGAGTCTGAGTCAGCTGCAGTAGTGCGAGTTTTGGGCCGTTTCTCCGGCGCTTCCTGCATCAACTCGCCCAAGAGATCCACTGCAGCCTCCAGTTGCACCCTAATCTCCGAAGTACGGCCACTTTTGTCAAAACACCTTGTAGAAGCGCCACGCGGGCGCTCACTCACATTAAACGCCAGAACTCCAAACCTCGACATGCAGGCGTGACAGGCCTTTGCCGAACGACTTTCGGCGGAAGCGCTTCACTGCGAAAGATCTTTCAGCAAAGCAGTTGCGGCCTACGATTTGCGGAGCGTCCCGCTGCTTTTGACTGATCTCGCACAACATGACCCCCCCCCCCCCCCCTCATGAAAGCTGAGGGCTCCTTTATTGAAGGCGGACCGGCTAGTTGTTGCTTGAACCAGGAGCCAGTGGCCACGCTCTCTGAAAGGGAGAGAAACTCACTACGGCGATTCGAAGACCCTCAGGCAGGGGAAGTTGCAAGGAGGGTGGGGCAAGCCGCACTTAGCGAGGCAGGAAGACACAGAAGCGAAATGGGGAGCGCCACGAACTAGCCGATGCGAGTATCCGTAATACTGTGCGGGACAGTGTCCCGAGACAGGAAACCTGCAGCGTAGCGAGACCGATATTTTGACAAGACCAAAGACAGGAAAGCCCAAAGGCACAGTGTACATGCAGTCCACGCCCGTGCCCTAGCGCCATCTTCAAACAGAAACATGCGTACGTCTACCGCATGGCGATCGCCTTCGAGGTTCGAGACCAGGTGTCGTCGCTGAAGGACACCTCGACCTGGCTTCAGTTTAGTCGGCTTGGTGCTTAAGGAAGAGTCTTGGCTTATCAAGCCTTGCTCATGACCCTCACCATCTGCATGTAGCTGGAAGCCTTGAACGCTGCAAACATGGAGCCCAGAGCACGCCTTAAGCGCCAAGCGTTGTGTCTGGGCCACGAGCTTCAAAGGGCCTCCTGCCCGCAAGGAGCGTGTAGATTGCAGCTCCTGCAGACCACATGTCGGCCGGCTTGCCATAGGGGCGCCTGAAGCGAGCAAGGCATCACAGAATTCTCTGAGATCGCCTATGCGTCACATGCCAGTGGCACCCTCGCACGACTTCCGGAGCTGAAGTCGAAGGAGAGCCCACCTGGTCCATCAACACCTCAGCACAGGCCCTAGCAGCCCTAGCACAGACCCCAACACCGAAACCAAGGTAGTGTCACACTGCTTTTACAGGATACCTCGTCAGGCATCACGCACGCAGCAAGGCCGAAATCACCCAGCTTGTACGTGCAATCCTCAAGGTCGAAGGTGTTGGGTGCCTGCACGAAGCACATGTGTCATGGACTTGTGGCAAGTCTCCAGGCCACAGGGGCAATAAGTTCTCAACAAAGCAGAGTCATTCCTCCGGGGGCACGCCTCAACTTTGAACACATTCTCACACTTCACGTCTCGATGCACCACGCCTGCCATGACCCGGTCAAGTATCAAAGCATGGCACTGTCCAAGCACACAGGCTTTAGTCCGTTCTGTTCGACAAGACGGTGCCTCAGTGAGCAATCAAAAGGCACGGCGTCACCAAGCTTCATTCTCTTACTACGTCACCACGCGTCATTCTCTTAGGGAGGAGCTGGCTACCTGAAACATCTTGTATCCTACCCGTACTTGAATTCCACACCTATTTAGTTGCAACCAAGCTTGGGGGACTGAAATCTTTACAGGTCATGCCTGTACGGGTTCCAAGGTGCTGTTCTTGGTAACCCGTCCAAGCAGCATCCGCGATGCATGCCAAAACAACACCACGTCGAGATCTTTGCCTTGTTCGTGAAGGTAGGCCAGCGCTTGAAACCTTACAGTCGCTGTGCCGTCGATTCAGTCCCTTCGGGTGGCTCTTCCGACCCTGTCTCAAGGCTTTGGCGTGTGCTTCATGGCCCGTCGTGTCGCAGATTCTCTGAGTCCTTGCAACAACTCAAGCAACTCTCTGCCCTGGCTTGCAGAATTTTCATCAGGAGCCGACCCGGCCTTTGCTGTTCTTTTCACGATGGCGTGACATCACTTCCAACAGGTCTCCACCTCTTTGCTGGTGGCCCCAGAGTCTCAAGTGAGGCGAACACACATCGCTCCTTTGCAGAACTCCAGAACCAGGGACACCATCTTGCTGCTGTCATCGTGAAAAGTCTGCCAGAGCTGGAGACTCAGCAACTTGCAGCATGCGCATCGAGACTTGGGGCCGTACATCGATCAGCTCGACGATATTCCTCGGAAGAAGACGATACTGTACGTCAGCTCTGCTCTTCTCAGTAATGTCGAGAAAAGCTCAGGGAGGGTCGGATGGTGAAGATTCTGGTGCAAGCGTATTTCTCCAGGTTGAACCTGGGATCGCCCAAGAAGCTGCCAGGTAATGCCTCTTTCACACAGCTTGCCTCCAGAGCCTCTGAGAAACTGGCACCATGGCCGAAGATACATCGCTTGCCTTTGACATGCAGCCTGGCACGCAGACGGCGGAGGCATGTGGCGAAGCAACACTTAACGCATTCATTTTGAGCACTCTGTGCAGCCATTTTCCGTCTCAGCTTCGCAGTAGTCTGTCGCGCTGCATTCCTTAGCCAGTCCAGCTTCCTGCGGCTCCCTGCGACTCCCTGCGACTCCCACTCCCTGCGTCAGGTGTCCGCTCCAAGATCCAACTTCCGCTGCTCGGCCGAGCTCAGGCTCACAGCGTGGCATGTGGTTTACGTGGTTGATCTTGGACAGCAAGCTTGCCGGCAGCCGGTTCTTTGGAAATTCAAGGTTTGAGATCTCCACGATGAGGACAGGTGTCGGTGTCGGAGATCACAGCTCCAGGTGGCTTTTTATTCGCTCTCGAAGCGTGGACGCAGAGGATGATTTGGCCGCTGTCTGAGTACACAAACAAGGACAATCGATACAACCCACAATTCAACGTTTCAATGGTTCGTTTCGGCATGTCCCTTTTTGGTCTTTTGCCTGCCACGCCACGTATGGAAGCGCTTCTAGGCCAGGAGCCCGTGCAAAGCCTCGACTTGCCAACGTCTGTGGTGTCACCTGCAATCCCAAAGAAAGACTCGCGTCGCCGAATTACTGTGGCCCTCTGCCCCAGCCTCTGGAAGCTGGGAAATCTCCAAGGTTCGCAGCGCCGTGCAGTAGGCATCCTAATTGGACCATCGCGGGCCAAAAACACGCAGTTTTCTTAGCCAGGCGCCGCACCTCTGGCCGCATGCGTCGAGCGTAGAAGTCAGCTCCGGCCTGGAAGGTTTTCAGCAGATGCCAGGCTCTTCGTGCCCACGGGAACAAGGCCTCGGCAATCTGTTTGGCAAGGGTCTCATTGCCCTCCAAGATTGTAACCAATTCAATAAGGTCATCCAGGCTGGCAGAGACAGGGACGTAGTGCCTTCAGCACACCCTCTCTGATCCTCTCGGCTGCTACAAGTAAGCAGGGTTCTCGATTAACACGTCGATTACGTCTAGGACGTCTTCACCGCTACCCTCTATCTTGGTCTGCGGGGCTTCCACTCCACGAGTTCCCAGTGCAACGCTTCGTGAGTGGGCGATCGCTGAAGGAGCAGCACCGAGCCAGTGCCTTGGCTTTCGCTTCCCTTGCCTACCTATAGAAGACACCCGAAACCCAAACACCGTGAGGGTGGACGAGTGACCCAACTGCACTAGTTGTCCGAAGAGTTCCGGCGCGATTTGCTGTAGCAGACTCGGTTTCGGAAAGAACTTGTCGTTGCGACGTCGGTCAGGTGCAACCCAGTGGTGCTGGTGCTGGTGCTGGTGCTGGTGCTGGTGCTGGTGCTGGTGCTGGTGCTGGTGCTGGTGCTGGTGCTGGTGCTGGCGGCGGCGGCGGCGG